AGCTCAATTTATAATTGTTAATCAGTATTGCACATGCACTTTTAAGCACCTTGCTTGCTTTCTCTTAAGGGCAAACAAAAGCTATAAGATTGGGTTGTTTCTACTTTTAGTCTTGGAGTACTATTCTCTCCATCTGACCAGTTGATTAACTTTTATATTTTTATGCTTTTAAATCTCTACAGAAACACTGAGATAAGATGGGCTCAAAAGCCTAAATGGTACTCATCCAAAAATGTCCCCAATCTCAGGATCTCAACTGCACAGCTGGGTTCTGTTGGTCACATGTCAGCTTCAGAGCACATCTGTTCATTCCTAAAGGATCCACTAGGCCCTATGAACACAATGTGCTCTGTGTAGAGTACTTTACACCACAAAACCCAGCAGCTGCATGGGTGAGAAAATCTCTACTTCTCAAGTTTGTGTCTCTAGGCAGTTTGAGTAGGGTGTTTTCTCTCTGGCTTTCTTTTGGTTGCCTGTCACTCCTGACATTCAGATGCCTGTTGGCAACAAAGTTGCTTTTGCTATTCTACTACAGATGTTTCTAGCCTGGGAAGAGACAGACCAAACTTTTACTGGAAAGTAGAAATTCTTGCCACATTCATGCACCAAACCTGAGAAAACATAAGGAAGATCCTGGCCACAGGCTCAAGAATGGAAAGGTAGGTCACTGCCAGGAAAATAATGTCCAGATCTGAAGACTTTTAGTTTTAGCATTTAGGAAAAATGTTTGTGTCAAATCTTCCCACCTGTGCTGTTCCATGATGGTCAAACGACACTTCTCTAGTAGGGCATGCGAGAAGGGTACAGTTACCTATACCTCACCTTGGAGAGTGACATCTTTATATTGAAGCTTTCTGTGAACTCACAGTCATGCGTGCATTGGTGTCAGGGGGAGGAAGAAGGGTGGGGGACACCCATTCATGTACTTCTGAAACTGTATACATTAGAAATATTTGTGTGTTGATGAGGTTGAATTGGAATACCACGAGAGTGGTACAAATGAAACTGAAGATACATCAAAAGTGAAGGCATTAAACATGAATGGGTTTATGTCATAGACTTCATTAGTTTGATTCATAGAAAATTATTGTTGTAGGTCAAGAATGATATTATGAAGTCTGATTTTACAATTCTCAAAGGCCTCATTGCTAGTTTTTAGAGGAAGGAGCAGTCTTGGGTCAACATGTTTTAAATGAGATGTGAGGGACAAACATAGCTTATAATATTGTAACTACTTCCCCCCCCCCCACAGGAATGTGTCTATATTTATATAGCATAGCCTGTTAAATCTGTACCAATGGCTGCAACTACAGACCACAGAAGCTTCTTTAATAACACACATACACCAAGTCCAAAATGTTCTACTCTGTCATTCATGTGTAAATCAAGTATATTATTCATATACTTCATCGACTTCCTGAATGCGTGCTAAAAATGCCAAGGAAAAACTCGTTAATCGTGACATGGTGACTGCTCAGCCAGCTCTGAAATGTTGATGGAAAAGAAAAATGGTCAAAGGGCCTTTTTAAGAACCTTTGCAGGTTACACTCGCAAATCGGAATTCAGAGAACATGAATTTCCTCATTCAGGAAGGAAGGATTAAAATCAAACACCCTCCAGTGGTTGCATCTAAAAACTGCATAGTTGTCCCAAATGGCTTAGTTGTAAAAGGAGTCTTCCTGTGTACCACTGAGTACCCAGGATCCAAGTCCCTGCTCAGTCTAATTGTTGTACAATCTCAAAAACACTAAAATGATCTTCTACGGACTATAAAAATCTCTCTTCTCCCTAATAACATCATCTTGGGTATTTTTATTTTGAGTTCTTTAAATGCCAGGGTATATGAGGTGACAACCTTCTATTATCTCTTATGTAGCGTGTTATAGTCCTCAACTAAAATCTTGTAGTTTTGTGCTAGGAAATATGGCTTGTGTAAGCCTCATACCCCATGGTCAAGGAGGACATTCAGACCTGTCTGTGATACACCAAAACAACTAATCAATTTCAATTAATTTAGCCAGTCAACTAGCTGACTCAATGAGGTGTAAAATAGTCTACCACCTGTTTGGCTAAATTGACACAGCAGGTTGATTCAATTGACCTGTCATCATCAAAATAGACTATCTGAGAGAACTAAGAGAACACAGTTTGGGGATGCATCTCTCTCACTCTCATGCTCTCTGGGTCTCACTCTCACCCATGCACAATAGCTGCTTCTTTATATAATAAGCAAGTGTCATCTACTGAGTCTCAGGTAAAGTGACTCGCCTGTATTCCATGTTGTCCCTATTTCCTTTTCTGATGTGCACAATGTTGAAGCATTGTTTTCCAGGTCAGAAGAAAGATAATCAAATTTGATGTGTTCGGACATGAAGGGTGACATTTTTAAGTCACTTGGGTTGATAAAGACTGTCTATTGTCGTGCCAACAATTTTGTAATGCAATAAGGCAGAAATTGAATCCATATTGAATCCTACTGAAGGTGACTTGACATAGAGTATAAATTCCACTTTGGTAATGATATTACTTTAATACAATTTAGTACACTATCACTCTAAAAATCGATGTTGCAGAATTTTGATAGTTAACAAGATGCTCTTGGCAAAAATGCAAAAAGTGCATAGGAATCTAAGGAATTAAACCAAAAAATAGTAAAGGGATATTTTTGATATTTCATTAATGATTGATCAACCTCTTGTAGATATTCTTTCTAATATCTGAAAAAATAAAAGTAGTATACACATTAGGACTGAAACTATTCCTATTAACTACATTTTTTTTCTTTCAGCAGAAAGCTCCTTGTTTAGATTTCACATTCACTTTGTTAAAAAAATGCCTTTCAGATACTGTCATGCAAAAATTAACATTTTTACTTATTTCATTCTTATTATTTCCTCTTGTCTTAAACCAATACTATTAAAACAAAATCAACAAGCATCTATGAAGCATCTACTGAGTTTAGGTATTTTGGTAGATGATAACAGGTGTATGAAGATGAATGAGAGACAGTACTTGCCCTCATGGAGCTTATAGTTTTGCTGAGAAGATAAGACAAATAGCTGGAACACTACATTAAAAAAAGAAAATAATACAAAATATCACAGGAGTAAGGAGTACAAAATTTATAGTCAAACAAGTGATTATACACCACATACTCTAGGGCTAGAGAAATTATTATGGACTTTTCACAGAGGCAGTGTTATGGAGAGTATACATAGTATTTGTAAAGGTGTAGGAGGCTAACATGAACAAAAGTGTTGCACCAGACTGTAGCAGTGTTTAGCTAAGGGTTAATGGATATTATCCTATAAGAAATGGTGAAGAATTTAAGGTTGTTGAATAGGGGAGAGACATGATCAAGGAGGTATACATATTAGTGGGACTAGATGCGTAAGAGGAAAAATAGGGAAGGCAGAGAGTAATCAACATTCAGGAATGAGGTGATTAGGGCCTATACTAGAATGGTGGAAGTGGTAATGGAAAAGATGCAATGGGCACTGGATTTGGGAGAGAGATACAAAAGAATCAAAAATGACTCTGAGGTATCTGCATGTTCCTTGGGGCTCGATCAATGTAGAAGTGGTATATAAAGTCATGAAAATAAAGGAAATTACAGAAAGAAGCGAGGAGAGGACCATGGGAAGAAATTTGGGGAAATATTACATTTGTAGAAAGTAATATACCAGAAAATATTGTCTGGTTTCTTTCTATACATGTGTAAGTGTGCATACTCATGTGCAAACCCAAACATATACAGAAATGTATGCACACTGAAAAAAGAGATGAACAAAAAAACTCAGTTGTTTCAATTTGTTTCCTGTCAGTTTAGTGACCACAGTAGACTTCTGATAATCTGAATAAAAGTTATTGAGGAATAAATAGCGTGATCTAGAGGAGTGAGAACCGGAATCAAACAGATATAGGTTCTTATTCCATCTCTACCATTTGCCAGCTGACTGGTCTTGGACTTCTTTCAGGCCTTATTTCCTCATCTGTAAGATGAAGATAACAGTACCTGCTCTTTCTCCACATAGGGTTATTGTAAAGATGAAAAGAAATAATGTATGTGAAAATAATGTATGTGAAATAATGTATGTGAAAATATTCTATATACTGTGAAGTACTAAATATATAAGCTTTTAAATTTTGTTAGCCCATGTGTATAAATTACCATATTCTGATTTGTGGTCACAGCTTAATCTCCCCCTCTCAAGGATATTAATATAGACATGCAAATGAATTCTAGCACTTTTATGTTCCCTCAATGGCATTTCAAGCTCGAGGGCAGAGACCATATCTTTTCTGTATTTACCTCACACTTTACTGTGTACAGTACACTGAACAGAAACAGGAAAGAAGTATATATTTTTACTTGAACCTGAATTTATTCTGTAAGCTCATATATAGCTTTCAATATGTAGCATAATTTAAAAGTAGTACTCAAGCCTACATAGTCTAGAACTTCTTAAAAAGAATTTAAATACACAGTGAAGGTGCCATACGCCATGGCCTCACTTTCATTTTTAAGTGGATTTTCTTCTGCAAATCTGGAAATGAGTATTAAAGCATAAATTCAGAGTTATTAGTGACAATGATTGTAGGTATAAGTAGAAGCACAATGACAGAAGACCAGATTTGGAACTGAAATGCATTGAAAATCTGAAATGCAAAAAATCTGAAATGCAAAAAGTCTGAAATGCAAAAAATATCTGACTTATACACATTTTTTTAATGATCATCATTTTCTCAGAACACTAAGGCAATATAATAAAGCATACCATTAAAGCACAATTTAAAAACCATACCTAAAATATAAGTGAGAGTGCCTTTAAAAAAAATTTGGATGCTAGAAAGTCAGAACACAGGTATTGGGGAAAAATTTGAATTTAATAAAATCTCCTGTAAGAAAAACTATCTAAATACTTGGCTCTGACATATGAAGTCTCCACATAACTTAAGTGAAGCCAAACTTTTAAAATACAAAAATTGAAAGTACTTACTTCCACTTGGAATTAGGTCCCTTTCTGGGATGAAGAGTTTATATCCATAGTGTTTTTCTAGCACATCTGGCAGTATTTCAAGAGCAAACTGCTCTTCTTCAGGGTTGTCACATTCCAAAGTATCTTGGTCCACTTTTGTGTAAGAGAGATAGGCATCATATTCCTTGTTGTCTTAGAAACAAAGAAAACAAAAGGGTTGTATGTATCATTAGGTTCTCTTTAAGTACTAAATGTCTATAATCATTAACAGGCTGGAATATGCACTATAATTAGTGACTGTCATTAATAACTGGAAAAAATAAGTTACATGCAATGCTATAAGAAGTCGAGTACATTTCAACATAACTTAGTTATAGTCGTAGGATATGAACTGAAACTGTTATGCAGTGGGCAACATATAGTCAGGACAGAATAAAAGAGAACTATTATTTGTGACTTTTGGTGTGAATGATCAGCTCAGTGTGTTTGAATGCAGGACTAAATAGACTCATGGATTTGAACTCTTTCTGTGCCAGTTGGCTTGGCTCTGTTACTCGGTCACAGACTATACCTTGTTTGCACAAATATGTGTAAGAGATCCAAGAGGGGCTGGGCCCTAGAGTGTGGAAGATCGAAATAATCCAGCCTCACTCCTGGAGACACTACTTGTAGCACATGCCATACTTCCAGTTGGTTAGTGTCGTCATCCTTATATACAAAATGCAGTTCATTACCAAATATTAGAGACAGCAGCTGGGTTTTATACAAGTGCATTGCCTGTTACTCTTGTTCAATCCATGGCCAACTAATTTGACACAAGCTACCAAAAGAACCCTTTGTTTCAGAATATACATCCTTCCAATATTGCCAAATTAGGTTTTCCCTTCACACATTTAGTCAGAGGGTTAACTGTGCTTTGAGAATGTATTTTTTCTTCCTTTGCTATATTGGCTCAGAGCCAGTCTCCCCAAAGAGAAAATTCTCTCTCTCCCCCCCCCCCCCCTCCTCCCTCTCTCTCTCTCTCTCTCTCTCTCTCTCTCTCTATATATATATATATATATATATATATATATATGCAGTTCTTTCTCAAAGTATTAGTCCCTGCTGGTTTTAGAAGGAACACATTGGAAAAGTTATATTGGTTTTCAAAATTCCCTTATTTATAGAAAAAAATTTAAAAGTTAATGTAATGAACCTAGACTCATATGGAACTATTAGTATTTTTTAAATCTAGTTACTTGCAAATAATAATTTTAAAAGACCAGCAAACATTTCAGGATTTGTTTCTAAAACACAGAAATATTTTCCATTAAAACAGACCTGATTAGAATATAGCTAAAACTTGACCAAAAGTTAATTTACAAGATGAAGCAGCCACTCACTTCCCTATACCACTAAAATGTGGTTCTACCTGCTGAAAGAGGAATATGTGATAGGCATATAAAGAGATATAAATACCCTATGGTAGGAGTACGCAGCACCCCCTGACTATCTAGTGATAACTGAGGCAGGATTATATTGTTCTAAGTCTAGTAAGATTCCAGGCTTCACTACCCCCACATGAACGGGACTCTGCTTATTTATATTAAGATGGTGCCTGAAGCCAGGAGGCTTCTCTTTAGCCTGTCCTCTATCTGGAAAAGACTGCTGTGAACCTTGGTTGGGTACTTGATTGCCTAGAAGCAGATGCACATGAAGGACTGCCCTGATAGTTGAGATCACTTGGCTTACAAATGGGGCACATTCTGCTGTTATGCATAAAACGCCACTTGGAAGTGAGAATGTTCATAAGCAATGCTAATGTAAGAACCTCCTGGTAATCCTAGCACCTCTGCCCCTGTTCCAATCAAGCTCAGGATGCACCTGCAGGCCCTTGACTTTCTCCAGCTATAATTACTCACCTGGGACTGAGAGCTGCCGATGATACACAGCTGGAAGAATAAAATAGGCCAAAGGACAAACAGATCCATTTCTATGAGCAGACTGTATTTCATTGTTCTTGATGGATGGTGTTGCTGCCTCAAACTTCATAATGTTAGACTAGACCCTAGTTTCCTCTGACTTTGATAACTCTATGTTACAAACCTCCTGAAATGCAACCACTTATTAATTCATTCAACAGTGATTTGTTGAGCATCTATTAGGAGCTAGCCATCTGCAATGACTACCTGACTCTTTCACCCATCTGGCCAGAACTTCTAGACTCATGCCATATTGCTTGTCCTGACTATGACTATTTGCCCTCCAACCATGCCTAATCTCACATATCCCTGGTCCTATCCTTACTTGCTTCACCTATATTCTAATATAGGTGATGCTACAAAGACTTTTTTTCCAGAAAATATTGCTATATTTGCATATCCCAAGTCAAGTTATGAGAAAGAAAATGGATATCTTTGCTATGTGTTAACACCCAACACATCTGGATAACAAATTGTACATAACATTCTAGAAACACATCATTCTTTGGAAAATGGTTGCTTCTGTTTTCAGTCATGTCCCTTTAAGGTGAACTAAAGGTGAAGAGCTTATGGTAGCTGGCCAGAGCAGGAAGAGAGCTCTCAAGCCACCATGTCAGATGTCCCAGAAGGTCTAGGATGCCAGCTAGTGAGCAAGCAGTGATGCAGATGCAACAGTTTTAAAAGTGCACTTCAGCTCTATGTAGACAGCCAAGAAAACCTCATGAAGAGCCACAGCTGTTGCTCACAAAGAGGAGCAAGATGGATAGAGCAATATCAACAATATGATGCAAATAAAGGTTAACAGCAAGTCCTGAATATTGTTTTAAAACCGAATGGCAATTCAGCAACACCACTTTGCTAGGTGAGGCTAATGAGAATTCCTCTGTGTTAAATCATGCTGACTAAGTTCAACTGAGGAACCAGAAAACAGCACAATGGAGACAAAACATTATAAGGAAGAAGGCTCGCACAGTGGTCACCATAGGTATGCTGTTACCAATGAAGAGAGAAGTTATGACAAAGGGAACCAAACTCTCTGTGGAAGAAGTTTCCTGTTGTCACACTGTCCTTTCCATTTTAAAATCTCATTTTAATCCTGTTCACCATTAGGAAGCCATTCCTGTTTACAATGTAGTTCTTCTGGGGCTCTGCTAAACACAGTGCTAAATCCTTAGCTTCTAAAGTGCAAAGACTGTGTAACTTTGTTGATTATTGTGTCTCCAATGCCTACTATACTACCAGTGTGTGTGTGTGTGTGTGTGTGTGTGTGTGTGTGTGTGTGTGTGTGTGTGTGTGTGTGTAGGGTTAATCCAGGTGAAGAATATATGTAAGTATATACATCATTCATAGTGCTTGGCACACAGTAGACACTTAATAAGTATTTAATGACTGCATAATTCAAAGATCAAATAAATGAAGCAATCATTGATGAAATGAAATGAATTATATCAAAAATGTTTAAGAAGTCAGTTTGATAGATTTTATTTTATAAAAAATATGGCATTTTTATAAGAACTTTCAGGAAATGCTACCATAGATATGAATCCAAGAGAAAACATGAACAAAAAGTACATGGTAAAACTATGGTGTGTCTATGAGATGTCAAAATATTTAAATAAAGAAATGAAAATTCAGTAGGCTATCCAGCTGACATTTGGCATCATGAAACTGGATATTTCTAGAAGGGCTTTAATATTCATTTATTCATCCTCACTACATATCTGCTGACTTTTTAGTATTCTATTCAGCTAGTACAGAGATTGTGTGTTTAAAGTCCAAGTTTCCATGTAGGAATATAAACTATTTTAATTTTCCTTCCTGCTGAAAATCCTTGAAGTTCCCCCCCAATTGAATTTTTCCCTAAGATAATTGGTTTGGAACCAATACACACAATTCTCTAACCAAAATGCTCTAGATTACTTGTCATCTTTGGCCACATGGGCCACATTGGCGATATAGATGCAAAATGTCGTATGATATTAGCATGAATTTAATCTTACAAATATGTACTACAACTGATCAGTTAGTCTGGATTATTGGATATGGGTGATGAAAGTAATTATTTCAGATTAACTTCATAAACTATATCACTTCTTGCAGAAAGTATTAACAAATTGCTTGTAATCATGACCTAAAGCAAATGAATCAGAGCAGACTCCCTTTCATGTACTTTCATATAGACAATGCATCTTTAACATTCCCAGTTAGATACTTTAGCCATTTGTTGGCGCTTGGGAACCAGTGAAATTTTCCTCAATAGCATATTTCATCTCATTATTTTATGTGTGCAGGTTAAGAAGTCAGATCTTTCAATATTAATTATTGTATACAGAAACTGAAGGTAATTGACTACATTTTCATACATATTGTTGGAGCATGTAATTATCATCAGAACAGGCCCTAATTTCTCATATTGAAGATATATCTAAATAAGGGTCTTTGGTACTTTTAAATAGGCTGCTATAATCATTAGGTAAATACACTGCTTTGATAATGAGCATGCACATGTATTCACCAAACAGCATTTGTCGAATTTACTGTGGAAACATAAAAGTCAATTAAAACACACTCATATCATTGTTCATATAATAGTAACAATAAGACCAAAATCAAAGATTCTTCAAAAATTTTGATGTTACATTCACCACTCTGCCTTTCTCCTATCACTATATAAATAAAACAAAATCATAAACTGCTCTCCTTTGAGGATCTCAAAACAAACAAAAGCTCTAACTTTCATTATTCCAATAGAATGAAAACTAAAATTTAAATCTGGCTTTTTAAAGTAATGACTTACAATTGAACTTCTTTTTTATCTTGGCTTACCTAAGGCATTCCATACACATGTTTCCAAGGCTTATAGTAGTTTGTGGGTGAGGACTGTATGCATAAGGAGTGATATGTAATGATTTCTTATTGATATTGATTGGAAATATGATAATTTGTTCTCTTGAAAAATTAAATCATTTTTGAATGTTCAAAGAAACAAGGCTCAATACAACGTTTTGTTGATATTTCATATATAAGATTTTCAAGGGCCATAAATGGCAAACAGAAGAAAATTATAAGCCACATTCTGAATTTTTTTCCATTGAGGTCACCTTTGAGAATTGTGCTACAATCATACAAAATGTATCAGTCCAGATGTACTATGAGCTTTAAAATGAGTATCTCCATAGCTTTTAATATGTTTTTTGAATAATTTGTTTTTTTCAATGCCAGGAAGAGCTAAATATGATCTGTGCCTAAATTTGAATTTTCTGGAAGAAAAAAATGAAATTGATTCTTAATTTCTTTCTTAATAAGGGAAAGGGCTTTGACAGAAATTGTTTGATCTCCTGACCAACTAATATCTCCTTGTTAAACTATTTTTTTGGAAATAAATTTCAAGAAATAAAATTATTTTAAAGAACACCCATATATTCTTTACCCAGGTTCATCTATTAATATTTTCTCCCCTTTGCTGTCTTTCTTGATAGATTAATACCATTTTTTTCTGAACTATTTGAGGGTAAGTTGCATTAGTCATAGCCTTTTAACTCTAAATTTTTCATCATGTATCTCCTAAGAATAGGGATATTCTCTTACATAATCACAAATTCATGCCTTTTAATTGAATTTGAACAATAAGAGATAGCTTACCATCTGCAGTTTCATCACCTCCAAAATGCTGTCGGTAGAAGAGCATCAATTCAATATTGTAGCACTTGTAGATGACCACGAGCAATACAAGGAGGAGAAAGATTGCTCCCAGGCCTCCTGCAAGTTCAATTTTGTAGATTAAATCTGGAACAAATAAAATAAACAGGAAAAGATAATTAAATCAGCAACACTGAGGAACTTCCCATATTTCTAGTCTCTAAGATGTACAACCCATTCTGTTTTTCTTTACAGAAGATTCTTGCTTAATGCAGTAAGTAGATGCATTCTTGATACATTTGTGTAAATCAATTTCTTGTTAAATTAACTCTTTTCTAAATATTTGAAAATTTTTACTGTTGAAAGTGATGTCTATCTGAAAAAGAATAGTCTCTCCCACTTTGTTTTGAACACATCTAGACCTCACATGTATACTTTTGCTTTAAGTGTACTTCAGGAAACTATTAGAGCTGCCTTTTACTGGGTTCAGGTCCAATATTTTGTTGTTTCTGTTAAATTATCTTTTGGCTTAGCAAGATTACAATCTAATACTTCTTAGGCCACAGGCCCTATTCTTCTACAGGAGAACAGCATCATAAAATTATTCTCAGAATCAAATAAAATCCGATGAGCCTACAGGATTTAACTGTTTCATTTAACCACAGTAGAACATAATCCAATAGAAGGTAGGCAGGGGAAATTAGCTTATCCATTTCCCCTACTTATCTGAATAAATGACTATAATTTGTATGTGATATAATATGCCCAATGGGGCTAAAAGAAAATGAGAAATCTAGGCTAATCACTTGGCCTATTCAGCCAACACCAGGCTACCTGATAGCAGCCTTAGGCTTTTCCAGTGGGGCACCCCTAGAACTCTGAGAGTTGGAACAATTAAATCAACACATAATGGAAGGAGACATAGTATATCCTAGGCCCAGGAAATAGTGACTTACATGTAGCTTAATTAGTGATATTAACAAAATCTAGGGTGTATCATCAAAAGAGGGGATAGCATCATGGAATTTAGAGAAAGGGGAAGTCAGAGAAGAATTTAGAATATGAATTCAGCAATGTCCAGAGGAGAAATGCTGAATCTGGAAGACACTAGACCAGAGATATTTTCCACTGTGTGACAGGGAAATTCACTGGTCTCAACATAATACAGATAAAACTATCTTAAAAATTAGCTAAGCTCCCCTTAATCTAATTCCACAATTACCAAGTGATTCTTTTATTATTAATTCAGCTTACCATGTAACTACAAACTGAAAAAGGGAGTGGCATTTTAGTTTGTACATCAGTTGCTTATGAGTTTGCTTGGCAGCAATCAGCCTCCCTGGATGGATCAATTCTGGGGTACTGCCAAAATCAAATTGATGACAATGACAGACTGCCATTCTTGAAGGTCTCTTGACAGTAAAATCATGAGCCTTTCCCTGGGATTGTCCCTTGTCTCTATATAGGCTTATTGCTCAAGATGAATTAGGCTCAGTATAACAATAAGATTAAGAAAAAAGATGAACATATATAATATATACTACAAGTAATGTATATTATAGATAAAATTTTCTACCAGTCTACTATCTATTCTCTAAGTAATCCTTTAGGGCAAGAATTGTTGGTCCAAATTCATCACTGAAGAATCTAAGACTCAGTAGTTTAATTCACTTACCCAAGGTCATACACCTAAGAAGTGGCCAAGATGGGACTTGAGCCCAGATATTCTAACTTCATATTTAAGGTTCTTTTTATTACACCACAGTTTTGTAAGCTCCTCTGGAAAGTGACGATGAAATTCCTTCTCCCTCTTCCTCCATAGAACTGTTGGTAATGCTTTTCAAGAACATGTGACCTGCGGTGAATTTTGGATTCTTCTGCCCTTTCAATTCCAAGGAAAGAAGCTAAACTACAATTGCCAGGCAGAATGATAGGACCGAGCAGATCTCAGACAGTTTATTGGAGGGTATTGAAGAATTCTGCAGCTATATCAAGAAGGAACGAGGGGCTCCTTGGAGTCCAGCATATGAAAAGTTTTAGGTTTTGTAGGGAGATAGAGAGTTTGGTATTTTAAAGGAGGTGGAGTAATAGAGAAGATGGTAGTGGCCAGAGACAGCATGGCCAATGAGGAGAGTCGCTGAGTAGAAATGTAAGAAATATAAATGTATTCTTTTTCAGTAAGGAGAGAGGGAGAAGGATAGAAAAAAGAAGGGAGTGAAGCTATTGTGAGAGACAAAATATATTAATAAGGAGCATTATGAGGGGCCACATAATGAGTAGGGATAGGAAATTGGAATCTATCTCTGTCATGCCTACTGCAAGAGGTGGTCATTTGGAAAATTAAGCCACAAAATTTCAGGTAAAAATAATCCTACCTCATATTAGCTCTGCCTCCTGCCCTCCCTATAGAAAATGACTCCCCAGGAACCACTGCCTGTCTCTATGTGGTTGGTAAGGCAGGCTTGCTTATGAGACCTCTGTGGGGCTGCAGTATCACAACCTTTGCTTGTTTTCTTACTGTTTTATCAATTATGCATTCTTTTTTTATTCAAAAAAAATATCAAGTATCTTTATATTTTTTAACATCTTTATTGGAGTATAATTGCTTTACAATGGTGTGTTAGTTTCTGCTTTATAACAAAGTGAATCAGCTATACATATACATATACCCCCATATCTCCTCCCTCTTGTGTCTCCCTCCTACTCTCCCTATCCCACCCCTCTAGGTCGTCACAAAGCACCGACCTGATCTCCCTGTGCTATGCGGCTCCTTCCCACTAGCTTTCGGTTTTACATTTCGTAGTGTATATAAGTCCATGCCACTCTCTCACTTCGTCCCAGCTTACCCTTCCCCTTCCTGCTGTCCTCAAGTCCATTCTCTATGTCTGTGTCTTTATTCCTGTCCTGCCCCTAGGTTCTTCAGAACCATTTTTTAAAAAAATTCCATATATATATATTAGCATACGGTATTTGTTTTTCTAGCCAGTGTGAAATTGACAGGGCAATATGATTTTTTTTTGTTTACTCTGAAAACTGAATTCTCTTTGATCTTAGGTCATTGATTGACTTGATTCAACATGTTTTTCCTGTTGTAAAATGTTCATTTAATGTTGTAATTTTGTTAACTCTCTGTCTCTGTCTCTCTCCCTCTGTCTCACTCTCTGGTCAGAACAGCTTTCAACTGTTTTCAAAGTCACTGAATGGGATTTTTTTCCAGCAATTTCTATGTTATTTACAGAGTAGAGTTGCTATTAGGTAGATGGAAAGCTTCAGCAGCAGGAACAATTTGTGCTCCCAAGTAGCAGACACCTTTTTCAGCAGTAAATATATGGAAGAAAACTGTGGTGTGAAAAGTACCTTTGTGGTTTCGGGGTCCATTTTATAAAAATATCTTTGAAAGATATTACCTAGTGATGGCTGTTTACATTGAAAACTGTGGACCGAGTCCCTGAGACTCAACCAGTATTCTTTGATTCAGCACAGGCAGTCACATTAAAAGGGAAACATGTATCCTATAATCAGAGGGCAGAATTGCCATCACCCAGTTGACACCTAGCTTTTCTTTTGTCTTCTGTTTTCAACTGCCATTTTCCATCTCAGCAGGATCTATACTTCTAGGGACATTTCCTGACTGAGAAGGTGGAAGTCATTTTATTTGGACTGTGTCGTGTATACGCTTCACAAGGATAGAGATAGCCAGAAGAGCAAATATTTATGGGATTGTAACTTTTTCCAGGCACCCAAAGTACAAGTGTAGTTCTTTTTAACCTTCTTAGTTTGAACCCAGCTAGTTCTTCACTTTGAACATGAAGATCAGACAGCATAGAATGGGACAAATAATAGCTGAAGTCAAGGGACTGGAGAGCAGGAAGACTGGAACTGTTCTGAGCTTGCTCATAAGTTGGGAAGCAGGTTAGGAGATCCCACCTGAGGGTCTCCTATACAGGTTGGGGGTTCAGGGTGGGGCAGTAGCACTAGGAATGAAGAGAAAGAGAGAGTCATTGATATGTCTCTGTTTGTGGGAAAGGGAGTATATACAGAGAAGGCATAATTATCAGAATTTTCCTAGCATTAAGTTCAGAGTCTTGGTTCACCAAAAAAAAAAAAAAAAAGAATTTCTTACTAAAATGTTAGCTGTACTTGTTGGCAAATAGTTCATTGGAGAGTGAGGGCATAGCAGGTTAGTAAATGAAGGTAGAAGTTGCATAGGTAAGAGACAGCTAGCTTTGAGAATGCCTGACCCTGTTAATTGCATATATTAGACATGAGTTTTCATTTTACGAAAGGCCTTTTCACTTTGTGAAAGGATTCATGAAATGTTTCTTCTCTATAATGATCACTTATGGCATTTTTGATATTTGACTTATAGATCATCAGGAAGTTATTGTTCCATAAAACGAGCCATACTCATATTCCAGGTGGAAATACTGTGGCTACTGATGCCAGGCTATGTTGTGATAAAGCCTGAAAGGTTCAGCTCCAAAGGAAATAACTGAAATTTTGCAGTACAAGCCAGAGCTCAGTCTGATTTAATATGCTGGATCAGGACCATAGGGCTTATTGTTCTTTTCTTGACCTCTACCATATTGTCGATAGCTCCTAAAAAAATGGAGTAAGGGAAGATGAACTGCATCCTTTTGCAAAGCGCAGTGAAAAAATTTAAATGCTACCTAAAACAGGGAGTACAAACTGGTATACAATGGGCCAGAAAAAAGGTTTTTGTTGGTCTATATGTTTCCCAAAAAGTAGATACTAATATTTTAAAATAAAAATATTGCATATCCAGACTTTCAACTTCACTTGAAAACCTTGAAGCTCTCATATCCTTAGGTTCACATTTCAGCAAGCATGGCAATAATCTAGAAAAGAATAGTGACTGCCCTTTAAAGAAAGGCATGTTTCCTCTAGCCTGTGTTTAATATCCAGCCCTCTTTTTCTTTTAATTTCAATATCTACCTGGCTATTAATGTCTTTGAGTTTTTATCCCCCAATCTGGAAATTGAATGTTTTGAAAAGAGAAATGCATTCAGATAACCCAGAATAGACACTAGTCAAGGCCAGATCGCAGGGAAATCCTCTCTTTACCAATCCCCGTTACCCATCCTCTATCCTATTGCACCTGTCCTCTAGGAGGACCATTTTTGCCCAACAAATGTTTTTGAGCACTTACTATATTCTATGTGCTAGGGATACAGCAGTAAATAAGGCAGGAAAACGTCCCTGTTCTTATGAAGTTTACATCCTAGTGTGTGTGTGTGGGGGGGTGGGGGGAGTGGGGGGGAGACAAGAAGAAAACAAGTATGTAATATGATATCAGATAGTAGTAAATACAATAAACAGAAATAGAGCCAAGTGAGAGGGAAAAGAAGGTGATGGGTAGTCCATCGATGGATAAATGGATCCAGAAAATATGGCATATATACACAATGGAATATTATTCAGCCTTAAAAGAGGAGATTCTGTCATTTGCTACAACATGGATGAACCTATAGGGCATTATGCTAAGTGAAATAAGCCAGAGCGAGAAAGATAAATATTATAGTGCATGGTATCACTTATATGTGGAATCTCAAAAAAAAAGCTGAAGTCACAGAAACAGAGAGGAGAAAAGTGGTTGTCAGGGGATGGACGGTGGGAAAGGAAATAGGGAGAGGTTAGTAAAAGGGTACAAACTTTCAGGCAGATGAATCTGGTCTGAGGATCTAATGTATAACATGGTGACAGTAGTGGATAACACTGTACTGTATAAACTGAAATTTGCTGAGAAGGTACAACCTAAATGTTCTTACACACACAGAAATAAAATGTAGATGTGTGAGGTGATTGATGTGTTAATTAACTCAATGTGGGGAGTCATTTCACAATGTACACATATATCAAATCATCACGTTGTACACTTAATATATCTATATATCATACAATTTTATTTGTCAGTTTTACCTCAATAAAGCTAAAAATTTTTTTAAAAGAAAATGATTGGGTAGTACTATTTTATAAAAAGTGGCCAGGGAAAGGCCTATTGAGTAGGTAATATTTAAGCAGGCACCTGTATGAAAAGAGGGAATGAGTCATGGGAACAGCTGGGGGAAACAGCAGTGTTTCAGGCAGAGGAAATAGCAAGTGCAAAGATCATGAGCCAGGACTGTGCTCGGTGAGCGTGAGAAATAGAAAGGAGGCTAGTGTGTGCAAGGTTTGAGGCAGATTGTGGTAGAAAATGAGATCAGAAATGTCTTGAAGGCCATGGCAAAGATTTGGGGTTTCATTCTAAGTGTAACAGTGAGGGTCCTGTAATTGGATGGTTCTAATTAGGGAAATAATATGATCTGACCTAGATATTAAAAGGATCACTCCAGATGCTGTGATGAGAATAGACTGTGAGGGGACAAGGGGGAAGCAGGGAGACCGTTCACGGGGCTATTGCAGTGATCCAGGCAATTGATGCTGGTGGCTTAGACTCAGATGATAACAGTGAAGATGGGGAAAGTGCTCAGAGTACATATGTTTTAAAAGTAGAGCCATGGAATTTGCTGGTAGACTAGATATAGCGTATGAGCAGAGAAAAGAAGAAGTCAATGATGACTCCAAGGATTTTGGGCCTGAGCAACTGGAAGGATGGTGATGGAGATGAAGAAGGCAACTGGAGGATCAAGTTTATAGGGAGGAGAAATCAGGAATCCTGTGTGGGACAAGTGAAGCTTGATATGCCTGCTAGATATGTCTACTAGTGGAGTTTTTGAATAGTTGCTGAATAGGCAGTTAGGAATACAACTCTGGAGTTTAGGCGAGAAGTCCAAGCTAGAGATATAAATTTGGGAGATGTCAGCATATAAATCGTAAGCAAAACTGAGGTGGAGATGGAATTGAAATCATCTAGGGAGTGAGTGAGAAAAGGGGACCTGAACCCTGGGGAACTCTAATATTTAACGATTAGGAAGATGAAAATTAATATTCGCAGTTATTCATGATTTAGACACATTTCCTTGCAGAAGCCATGGGAGGCAGCAATTTTGCAGCGTACCTTGGTTTCTAGTGTCAGATTATTAGAAATTTGAAGGGCTGCTAGTGGTTGCTTTACTTATTAAAGGGAAATGGATTTATTTTAAAACTCAAGGCTATTTCTGTCTCTACTGACTGACTATATGGTAAGACCCCCATTATTTTTCCTCAGAGCAGGCTTTTAATTGTAACACCATACACATTTTGTGCAATTTTTTGTTTCATGTTTGAGCTTTGTCTTTCTTTGCACCCTCACTGCCCTGAAGACTATAAGCCCCCCACAGACTTGGGGATGACTATTCCCTAGTACCTAACACGATGCTTGCTATACATGATCCTCAATAATAAAAGAGAACATTATTCATTTATTAACCAGAATGAGTTCTAAGTGCCTATTAGTGGCCGGACACTGCCCAAGTTGCTGAGGATACAGAGGTGCAGCAGAGTCTGGCTTGGAGGATCTCTAAGCCTAAAATAAGACTGAGATGGACAGGAACAAAGCAATCCTTGCAAGAAGGTATCTGGACATAATCAATGTCTGCCCTTCAAGTAGGTGGACAAGTGGTTGCTTAGTGGATACAAGTTATCCAAATTCCATTTAATAACAAATCTTGTTTGAACATGGTATATTTCACACCATATCATTATTATTTGAACCTTAAAGTGACTCTACAAGGTAGGTATTTTTACCCCTATTTTATAGATGAGGAAACTAAAGTTTAAGATGTCTAATCAGACAAGTTAGTCCTACTGAAGTAGGTAGCCAAGGCAGTGGCTGAACCAGGATCTCCTGAAGCAGGGTCTCCTAGTTTCACTTTCTATATTAGACTCCTCTATACTTAAATACTCCATTATTTTAAGATGAAATCAAGTCCAACAGAGTAAGAAATGGTGCTAGAGAGATAAAAGCATTATTCTCAGAATAATGACATTTCCCTGCTTCTCCTAGAACTGCTGGTCAAGGTTATATATTAGGGCTGGTTGGAAAATAGAAATTCCATCTTGGCTACAAGGTACAACTAGTGACCTTGCTGATTGAATCTGTTCTAGCTCTATAGCCTAGACAAAAAGAACACTGATTGAGAACATTTGTTGTGTTACATTTACAAAACCTTTGCCAGATGCACACATACAGAAAGTATTTAGCCTTTTGCAGTAATCAGGAGTTATTTCATGGTAAGAGCCAATCTCAGAAGTTGCTCCAGCAGCTGGGATTGTTGTTCCTATGTCTGTTTTTATCTCTTTTATTTGTAAATTTATAGTTTCTTTTCTTTGCTCATTATATACAATTTCCACCCCATATGGAATCAACTCTAGAGAGGGATCTACATAAATGCCAAAGTATTTAAAAATATATGCACCTGCTGAAGGCCTTCAACACCAGGTCATATCATGAAATATTGTTCATGATCTTTATTATAATAATTGTAAAAATTATATGATACTATCTATTATTTTTATTTATATTTTAGTCAGGGAATAAAGAAGTGATTTTGTTTCTCATCCAATAGTAAAACCCCTATTATTTAATTTAAGCAATATAGGATGAAGTGAAATATAGAGAAAATGTTTAATATCAATGCCTATCAAATTTTATGTAACACTTATAACCAAGGTATATTTCACCTCACTGGATTTAACAAATAACAACATTTCATTTAATTTATCCACTTCCTAATGGTATGGAAGATCATAGGAATTTTATGCTAATATCCACAGCAAGAGAGAGATATTTCCTTAAAAAGACAAAATGTTTAATAGACATTTATACTAAATGATAAAATCAGGCCAGGAAACATACCTAACTTCAATAGTTACTTGATAGGTAAACAAACTATGGTAACAGTTATTTAAAAAAATACCCTTTTTACGCAGCAGAACACTTGCATGTTTTCGTCCATTTCGGTTTTCCACATGGCAGGTATAATTTGCCAGGTCAGCCTCCACCACTGAATCAAAGATGAGTGCCAACTCAACTTCTTTTTCTCCAAGATGCTCTTTGAGGAGCCTGAAATAAAGGAAAGTATTCTTGGCTGAATTGGTTTGATTTGGGGAGAGCCCAGCCATGCAAGGACTAAAGATGGTTACGTAGCTTACTAAGGTCTCCAGTGGGCTGGAGAGTCCTGACGGGGTGTATGTGCAGAAACTTGGAAAAGAAAACACAAAAAGTGACTCTTAATGCAAAGATCAGATGGAAAATGAAAAAAGTGAGGAATTCACTCAGCAAAAAGAAATATTATCATGCCACTAGGCTTTGATAAATGAAGCCAATATGATTTGTGTGGCAAAGAGGAGGAGACGTTGGATTCCATATTCTAAGCTGAGCTTATGAAAACAAATTGGATTTTTGCAACACGGCATGAAGGGAAAAATGTCTGTAGAAATGTAGAGTTTATGTCAGAGGCTAGAGTTTTGACAACAGGGGGCAAGATGGTAAAGAAATGGGCCTTGAAAATGACTGCCTTATGAGAATTAAACTAAGGGTGTTTAGTGGCCTTTTATCCCCAAATATCAGTGAGAAGCCTGTTCTCTACTTTCTCCTGCCTTCTGTCCAATGCAGGTATATACCCCTAATCCTCCAATGATCTACCATGGCCCTGCTTTCTCCCGACATTGCTCGCCATTTGTCTTTCTCCTTCCCTCCACACCCTCCCATGCCCCTAGGAGGAACTGCCCTATGTGACATTTTCTCATAGTGCTGCCTTTTGCTTTCTCAAGTGAAGTTGCAAAGGTTCTTGAATGGCCAGTAACAGTTGTTCTTCACAGAGGAGCTGAGTTGCCAGGAACCTTTCCTGAGGAGCGTGCCTCTTGTTTCTCTGGAGAGTTATATTCTTGCCAATGGCCAGCTGCCTCCTGGGTGAGGTGAAAGTAGGTACACTGCCTACTATTACTTTCTAACTCCTGGTTTTGACCAAAGAAAGAGAAAATTGTGAGTCTAAATAGTGGAAAGCCTGCTGTTAAGTTCTGGGGTGAGGTTGTTAAATACATGAATTTGCAAGATGGAACATTTGGGGCATTTAAAGTAATTCTCATCTCCTTTTTGACACCTGGTTAGGAAGGCAGAGAAGAACATTCAGATTTACTGGCATTTAGCATAAAGTTGGAAAAGACAACTGTACTCAGAGAAAACTGGGTTATAAATATGGGCCTCCCACTTACAAGCTCAAGCTGTATTCTTACAAAGTAATTAACTCAATGGCACCTTAATATAACTCATCTTTAAGTTGGGAAAAATACCTGCCATACTTAACTTTGTTGTGGGGGTAAAATGGGTAAAATGATTTCAAGATTAAATGGCATATGCAAATGCAAATGAATGTTATTAAACACCAACATTTCATTATCCAAAGGTGAACTTTATAAATTTTGGCTCCTCGAAACATATTTGTATTTATACTTATTGATATTTCAATTTGGTTTGGATTAATCTCTTCTGGCTCCCCTTTAAGAGAAGGAAAGACTTAAAGTTGGGTTGGTGAGAGGGAGTTCTTAGAATCTGAGAATCTCCCATACTGAAATCCTAAACCCAGATTATATTCCAAATAGAGATGCTTTTAAAATTAACCCTATTTCTGTTACCTTCCAATAATATACATATCAGAGAGTTGACAATACTGGCATTGGTAACTTGAGTAAGTCTCTTTAGTATAAGAATTTTCTTAACCATATTTCACTGGTAGTCTATTCATTTTTTTCTTCCTGGCTAAACTTGCAGTTTTCCTCTCTTTCTCCTCTCCCAACACATACCTAAACAAGGAAAAATGGGAATTTACTGTCCTAATGGTTTATATTGAATTTTACTCTATTTTCCCCCTGCTATGTGTATATCACACTATACTCAATTCTTTTAGTTCTGTGTGACCTGCTATGGGATAACCCCCTTTAGGCCAGAAGCTGCTTAAGCACCACAAATTAAGTTTGATTTAAAGCTTCACATGTAGGGCAGCCACAGCCTTTGCCAGGCATAAGGCAGAAAGCTGATCCTGTCCCTCCAGACAAAGCCTTTCCCTCTTCATTTCTAATGCAGTTTCCAAAAACAGCTCTTCACAGGCTGCAGAAAGAATCTAGAGAGAGGATTTGAAAAATGATCCTTCATCTATTAATATATATGAGGTGTCTTAATTATCAGCTCTTGAAAATCTAGAGTAGACCTGCTTTTTTGTAATTAAAGAGAAAATTGGTGTTTATGTCTATAAATCATTCTGCAGAGCAGTCACAATTTCCTAGCAAATATTGATATGTAACAATCTATCAATTATTCTTTGTCATTCCCCTGAGTGCCTAGCTCTGGGATAGGTATTTGGTGTAAGAGCAGTATAAGCACTAAAAGACCAGGTGCCTGCTCCCAGTAAGCATTAAAATTTAAACAAGGAGACAAAATCTACACAGCTGAAAAAATTATAGGCGGAATGAAGTAAAACAGGATGGTACAGTAATTCTTACAATGGAATTTCAAAAAAGGGAGAGATTATTATTTACTAAATTAGCTGGAGAAGGCTTGAGAAGACTCTGCCTAAACAAAAGAAAGAAGGAAGTGTTTTCTAGGAGGGAAGATAGGAACAGGTTTTTGCAAAATGTTTGAAAGAGAGACACTGAAGGGACTGGTTTTGGAATGGAGGATACAAATAAGGGGGTCTTGGGATATACTTCAAATAACTTCAGAAGTATCTCATTCCAAGGATTAATATTGAAGGCAAGTTATAGGCAACAGTGAACACTGGCAAAATAAAAAATACTAAATTCAGGTGACAGAAATCACTAGTTTCAAAAGTTTTATTGTTAAGACCTATTATTAAAAAGTAATACTAGAAAATGTTTAGAAGTTGTCACTCTCATCCTTACAAGAGAAAAAGCAAACAAAATAAAAGTCAACAACTTTTTGTAGATCCATCAGAGAATTGAGGTCACAGGGCAAACTCCTGCCCCCTAAATTTGAGATAGCTAGACAATTACTGAGAATCACAGTGTACTGGGAGCAGAAACCCAGGAGCAGGAATCAGCATGAATAAAAACACTTAAAATGTAATTGATGAGTCACTGTAGGCCCAATATGGACTAGATTGAGAGTTAAAAAAAAAAAACAAAACTCCATGGGATCTAATCTTAGGGGTGCCCTGTACTTTCATGAGTTTTGCTTCCAAGAGCCTGTCCAGAGTTTCAGGGTGAAGATCAGAGAATCCTTTATGCTTTTGGCACAGGAAGGGGAAAAGCAACTATCTTGAAATGAGCCCAGAGCACTCTTTCTTCTTAACAAAGGCACGCCCTCAAGTGAAACTCTTTAGCAGAACCTAAATTACTTGGGTTTTACCGAAACTGGGGGAAGAGAAATATCCAACTCCAGCCTCCTCAAGCCTTCCTGTCTCATCTAAGAAAAGGAGGAAAGCTGAGGAATACTTGTAAAGGTCACAGCCTGAAGGTACAGGTTCATTGAAAGACTAAGACTTTACCATAGGATTATAGAATACTTACCACCACACCAATCAAGCTCCTGTATGATTACAAAGGTTTTCAGCTGAAAAACCTGCAAAGCTCAGACCTTATTTAAGAAGCAGTCTCTAGGAAAACTGAAAGAAACAGTGGAGACATAAACAAGTACATTATAGGAAATTTTAGCCTCTTACACCTACGACTACAGAAAACAGTAAACACAGCCTAACTCCTAGCCACATAAACATAAAATCTCACAATAAAGACCTATTTACTTCAGTTCCTTTTATCTGATACATCACATCTGGCTTTCAATCAAAAAATGATAAGGCATGTTAAAAAGAAAGTCTGAAAAGACAATGCAAGTGTCAGAACCATATTCAGGTATGGCAGAGAATTATCAGAATGGGAATATAAAATAACCATTATTAATATGTTAAAGGCTCAAATGGAAAAAGTGAACAACATAAATCAATAGCTTGGTAGCATAACCAGAGAGATGGAAATTCTAAGAAAGGCTCAGAAGGAAATGCTAGAAATAAAAACACTGTAATAGAAATAAAGAGTGGCTTTCATGGGCCATTAACAGACTGGACGTGGCCAAAGAATCAGTGATCCTGAAGACAATCAACAGAAATTTCCTAAATTGAAACACAAAGAGAAAAGAGCATGGCAAAAAAAGGGACAAAACATTGAACACCTGAGGTATAACTACAAAAGGCATAACATACATGTAATCTAAATACCAAAAGAGAAAGGAACAATAGAAATATTTGAAGTAGTAATAACTGAGAATTTTCCAAAGATACCAGACCACAGATGCAGAAGTTCAGAGAATACCAAGCAGAGTGAAAATTAGAAAAGTTACACCTTGATGCATCATATTCTAACTGTATAAAGTGAAAAAATGAGAGAAAATCTTAAAAGAATTCAGAGGAAAAAGCTTAGCTATAGAGGAATAAGAATAAGAAATACATCAGACTTCTCTTTAGAAACTATGTAAGCAAGAAGAGAGTGGAGTGAAATATTGAAAGTGTTGAAAGAAAATTACTACCAACCTAGAATACTGTATCCATTTATCCTTCAAATGTGAAGGAAAAATAAAGACTCTTTCAGACAAATAAAAACTGAGGGAATTTGTTGTCAGTATACCTGTCTTGCAAGAAATGTTAAAAGAACCTCTTAAGAGAAAATGAAAATGATATAGGTCAGAAATTTGGATCTACATAATGAAAGGAAGAGTGTTAGAGAAGGAATAAATAAAGAAAAAATATTTTATTTTTCCTATTCATAATTGATCTAACTGGTAACAGTTTGTTTAAAATAATAATAGCAATAAAAGCAGTTATAAGAAGTTCTGAGGATCTAATATACAGCATGGTGACTATAGTTAGTAACATGTATTTTATACGTGAACGTTGCTGAGATTAGATCTTAAGCATTCTCACCACATTAATAAAAGAGTTAACTATGTTAACTATGTGAGCTTAACTAATATAATGGTATATGTCAATTATACCTCAATAAAATAAAATGAGAGTGAAAATGTAACCTGCAGAATGGGAGAAAATATTTGCAAAC